AAAAAACAAGGGCGAATGATTTGCCAACCGAAACAGAAAACGGAATGGCTTGATTATATAGTTATGCAACGAGTTAACGAATTTTAAAATGTTTCATTATAATAATGTTTCGATAGACAGCTATTTTTATATGAAAAATTAAAATATCTGAAAATTTATGTTCTTTTTCTTTGATGTGTAGACATCTATGTTTGTCCCAGACCCAGTAATTTCTTTATCGATCACACCGAAAGTCAAAGACTCTCCAAATTTTTCAAAAGCCCTAAATAAATTTCAGAAGGAAGATCCTACCTTTCGTGTTACATACGACTTAGAAAGTAAAGAAACTATTATCTCTGGAATGGGCGAATTGCATCTAGACATTTATGTTGAACGCATGAAGAGAGAATATAATGTTGATTGCATAACAGGCAAACCTCAAGTGGCTTTCAGAGAAACCATAATGTCAACTGCTAAATTCGATTATACGCATAAAAAGCAAACTGGTGGAGCTGGTCAATTTGGTAAAGTAATGGGATATATTGAACCATTAAAGGAGGTAACGGATGAAGATGAAGAACCACTTCCAATGTTTGAAAGTCGAGTTGTTGGCGGACATATTCCTTCAAATTTCATTCCGGCTGTCGAAAAGGTATTTATTATTTATAGACCAGTAAATTACATTTATTGTATTAACAAACTTTAATTTAACCTAATAGGGTTTCCAAGACGGTCTAGAAAAAGGTTCTTTAATCGGACATCCAATTAAAAATGTCCGTTTTATCCTTGAAGATGGAGCCCATCACGCTGTAGATTCTTCAGAACTTGCATTTCGTCTTGCAGCGTTGTACGCATTTCGAGATGCATTTATGAAGGCCAATCCTGTCATTCTGGAACCTATAATGAATGTATCTGTTACAGCACCAGTTGAATTCCAAGGGACTGTCATCGCCAATTTAAACAAACGAAAAGGTACCATTCTTGATACAGAGGTCCAAGAAGATCACTTTGTTGTAACTGCAGAGGTTTCTTTAAATAATATGTTTGGATATTCATCAGATTTAAGAAGTGCTACACAGGTAAATTTTAGCTATGTTCTCAAAATTAATATTTAATTATGGATAAAATTTTATTTATTATAATTTCAAAACTAAAATATAGGGCAAAGGCGAATTTACAATGGAGTACAAAACACATCAACCTGTTCTACCTTATGTTCAAGAAGAATTAATTAATGAATATAAAAAGAAGAAATTAGCAGAAAAAAAATAGATCAATTAGATTGTCAATACAAAAAAATTATCTATTAAAAAATTAGCTTAATATGTTTAGATAATAAAATTTGAAATTTACCAAATATCACTAAGGAGACTTTATATTACAACAGTCTCGTTTATACAGTTTCATGTTAACAACAGCAGAGTGTAGTTAAAATTTTTTGGAATTACAGTCAGACCTCTCTGAGCACATGCCCCTGGGACCACACTTTAACAACGTGCATTTAGAGAATAATAATAAGACAAAGTGCATTTATAGAGGTCAAGTACAGGTTACCCTCGTTAATATCAACCTATTTGAATTAGCTTTAAATCATGTTGATAGTGATATTAATGAGAAATCA